GAGAGAGAGAGAGAGAGAGAGAGAGAGAGAGAGAGTTGGAGAGGAAGGAAGGAAATGTTGCTCTAGTTATAGAGAACGAATATCTTAATGGTTACTGGGTAGGTTACTTGGTTGGAGAATAGGCGTCATTGCAGGCGGCACAATGCAATAGCTGCTGAATAGATTAATGAATGTTTCTAGTTATTCAAGTTTCAAATTTATCGTGACCGTTAGTGAATTTTTTTGCTTTGTATATTTTTAGTGAACGCTTTGCCAAGCTCACTGCGTGACTGTTTTTTCTCATAGAAATTTTTATACACATACATAATGATATATATATATATATATATATATATATATATATATATATATATATATATATATATATATATATATATACATATATATATATTATGCTTAATGCTGTGTTTTATGATCTCGCAGGCCAATTAATCTTTAAGACGTGATGTCTTTTTTATGTAATGTGCATTGAGCATTTTTTTCTAAATGCTCAATGTGCAGCATAAATGCAATTTATTGTAATTATAGTAATAGTTTTGATGATGATGATGATGATGATGATGATGATGATGATGATGATGATGATGATGATACTAATAATGGGGACAACAACGACATTTTAACAGATGCAATATCGCAGAACTGGGAAACGACACCTACGCGGTGCAGAGCGCCTCCCATCAGGGCGTGATAAACCGGATGATTCCTCTGACGGATGACGGCGACTACAGCAGTTGCTACAGATACGTCACAGCTTCCTCACACAACGGCACCTCGACATCCAGACAGAAGGAGAAATGTGACTCCTGGGTCTATGATAAGAGTGTTTTCCAACGCACTCTCACCTCAGATGTAAGTAAGTAAGTAAGTAAGTAAGAGAGGGAGGTTAGCGGGTGCTCTGGTGTGGTTTGTTGCTTCTTTTCTATCAAACATAGATCTCTATGCCGCCTGCAATGACGCCTATTCTCCAACCAAGTAACCTACCCAGTAACCATTAAGATATTCGTTCTCTATAACTAGAACAACATTTCCTTCCTTCCTCTCCCACTCTCTCTCTCTTTCTCTCTCTCTTTCTCTCTCTCTCTCTCTCTCTCTCTCTCTCTCTCTCTCTCTCTCTCTCTCTCTCTCTCTCTCTCTCTCTCGGCATGATCTCTCTCACCACTTATTCTTTGTGTTTGTTACTCGCTTATAACACCTCTAATCTTTGGCACTTATATGATCTTTTTGTGTTGCAGGTGCCGTAAAGCTCTTACTAAAACTTTCTTTTAAATGTATTGCGAGGACACATCACTACCTTAGAATTGCAAAATTCAACTAGGATATTATTTTGGGCTATTTTGAGCTACTAAAACGATGAGGTTAGAAACTAGACCTTCTGTCTGCTTTGTCAAAAATCGATAATTTATTCGAAGTTTGGTATAAAGATATTCAGAGAATTGCATTCGAAATGCTTGACTTGTTATCGAGGTCAACATTTCTAAACGTGAAACTTCTCAAAACTAGGTAGGCCTACTGAGTACATTTACACACAATATTGTATCCTCTCGCCTCAGGGGAAGTGGCTTCAGACTCCCCAATCAAGCACCCTGTGTCTGCATCTCCACGGTCTCGTCATACGTTTGTGTAATTTCCATAATGGAACTTTGTAATTTTAGGGTAGCAGTATCGCAGATAAACTATTTTCAAACAGCTGTTCAAATGTTGATGTTCTAAGCCCACAAAAAAACATTTTCAAGGAGAAAAAAGAAAAAAAATGTTATATTCTTTTAACAACTGTATCTACATTCTGCATTTTCTTTTGTTTACTTGTTTCTTCAACTTTCAGATTTTGAATTTCGACTAATTGTTTATCGAGCACATGAAACCTATACCATAGAACCTGCAATTTTTAAAATCAATTAAAATTTCAACCCTCTAGGCCTATGTATGATGCATGTATGATACATATACATATTATGCATATATTTTATATATAGGCCTATATAACACAAACCTCAACACTACACAACACACACACAAGCACACACACACATAAATAAACACACACACACACATATAACACAAACACACACAAGCATTCACACATACAGACACAACCTATGCTTACTCACATATGAACACACACACATAAACACACGTACACAAACACACAGACACACACAGACACACACAGACACACACACTCTCTCTCTCTCTCTCTCTCTCTCTCTCTCTCTCTCTCTCTCTCTCTCTCTCTCACTCACTTTCTTTCTCTCGTATCTCTCTAAATCTGCTGAATTGGCCATAAACAAACAATACATTTTTCACCTGTCTCTATTGTTTTTTATA